TACTTTAGGAAGAACACTGAATGTTGGAAAGAATTCAGAGGAGGGCTACTAGGATGATACCTGGGATAGAAAGGTTGTCATATGAGGACAAGTTAAGATTTCTGAAACTGTTTTCTGTCGAAAAAAGAAGTTAGAGGGAGCCTGATTGAGGCATGTGATATTGTCATTGCAATTGATATTCTTTGATAGATTATTAGTCAAAGTATTTATAGTAAAATTTAGTTCAATGGACCTCCTGTTGTAGAAGCAAAATGTTGAGGACTATGTTTCAAAAGCCTTTTGTCTTCAGGTCGGAAGACTTTTGAAACGTAATCCTCTACACTTTTGTTTCTACAACTGGCACTTGATGTCCATTCAAATAAATTTCACTGTGAATTGATATTGTAGATGCATCATTTTTTTCATTAAATGGTGAGAATGGTAAGACTAGGGGACATAAATATATAAATTTTGGCAGGGTAGGAGTCACCTTCAGCTAAGAAAGCTATATTTTTCTGACAAGGTGATTGGCCTTTGGAAAAGGTTGCCTTCAGGTGTGGTTGATGCAGTTAATTTAAGGGTTAATTTAAGTCTTGATAAATATTATGATAAGGGCTGGTTTTGAGTGTTAAATTTGAAGCTTAGTTTAATGGATGGGATATCCTAGATGGACCAACAGGTCCTTTGTTGTCTTTAAATTGTATGTATACCATAATATAGAATTTTTGTCAACTACATATTTAACTATAATCTGTAGTAAACTGTCACCACACAAGGTTAAGAATCAACATTCCCTTTCATAAAACACTCTGGAATTGATTGATTGATGATTTATTAGAAAAATAACATTATCAATATTCTACTACAGACTTTACAATCACTGTACAGATTGTGAATCACACAATGGCACCAACAATCATATCTAACTTATTAGTAACTTCATGGCATTTATTTTTCTATAAAATACAACTAAATTATAGTCCTTCAGTAAAATCATCATATTGAAAATAAAATATTTCAACAGTTTTGTATTAATATGCATTTTTACCAAAATGTAAAATATATGATTGTTTCTCAGATCCTTTAAAAGGAACACTCAGGGACCATTTTAAAAACGAAAAAGCTAACAGAAATTATCCTCTTTCACTGCAACTGGCAAAACAATAGCTAGTATTCATATAAGTTATGTAGAACCTACTAAAGTTGCACTTTTCTGTGAAGTAATACATTTTCTATTTAGCATAAGACAAGTGTTGTTTGTGTTAGTTTCACATGCAAGTTTAGTTGTCATTAAACCCAAAAGTTGATTTATCTAATAGGTTTAAAAACAAATGGTACCCGTTGCATTTCAATACTAAACCACAAAGTGAAATGTGGGGGCACCAAATCATCCAAAAATGATCTAGATATCAATGGGTGTTGTACTTAGTAGAGCAGTCACCATATTGTGATATATTGAAACTCAGCCTCTGAATGGGACATTTAATATGTATCATGTTAGAAATCATAATTTGAATTAGAGTATAATGTTCATAAGAATATCGTTAACAGTGTTATCAGTGAGCACAGTAGCAATCCCTATGTATGAATGGGTTTTGTAAAAATGACAGCCTGTACATTGCGTATGGGTAGCACATATGCTAGAATATTAGCAAACTTCAGCCAAAGGAATAGAGACAAAAAGCCCTTCACTAATCAAGTACAAAATGTATCTAAAGTTTGGCTAACCTTCCTTATCATCTAGCAAACAGATTTTCTTCTTCTTCACTGTCATCTGTACCTCATAAACCACAGTGTGTCTACAAACAGCCTGTAGATCAAAACACTTCACTGCTCCCTAACATGTGACTTTCATACATACAGCAGCAAGTGATCCATGATAGGTTAGTTACAGCTCCATGCCAGGATATACGTTACATGGAAGTTGATAATCTACCATATACTCCTCACCTCACTATCCTGGTCATGACCTATCTTGCCTCAAGAAGTAACGTCTATATGTTATATGGTTCCTTATACAATAGAACTGAATAAGTTAATGAAATGGTGCCTTTCATCTAGAAGTTACAGCCCAACTGGAAGCCAAGACTTCGACTTGTAAAAAAGTGTAGAAACTATTATAAAAAAACGTTTGAATGTAGAGATGGAAAAAGATCAGAAACTAGAGAGCATTTGGGATAGGAAGAAAATCTGCATTTCACCACCTCACTTTTATATAGATCCACCCTGTGAGTGCAGTATATGGGTGGTGAAATGGGTAATGCAGACTTTCCTCCCATCCCAACAATTTTAGAATCAAATTTTTGTTACTAGTGGAAGAAAATGATCTTATTTAGTAGATCAGTCTATTAAGCCATCAAAACAATGTTCTGTTGTCAGTGGTAGGGCAAATAGGATTTTAGGTTGTATCTATAGAAATACTGAATACGAGTCTAAAGAGGTTATAATGTCACTGTATAAATCACTGGTTTGGCCACATTTGTACTACTGTGTCCAGTCTTGGAATCTGTATCTCAGAAAGGACATTGTATTGTTGTAAAGGATTCAAAGGAGGGTTACAAGAATGATACCTGGGATGGAAAGATTGTTAAGTTGAGAATAGGATAAGATCCCTTAAATTGTTTTATCTTGAAAAGAGTTAAAGGGGCATGATAAAAATTTTAAGATTGTTAAAGGAATCAATGCATCATCTTTTAGGTACTTAATGGTGAAAATAGTAGGACACAAAATGTAAACTTTGCCAGGGTAGGAGTCATATTCAGCTTTTATGTTTCTAACAGGATGGTTGACTGTTGGATCAGGTTCCTTTCAGTTGAAGTTAATTTAAGAAGGCTTAGGGAAAAACTTGATATATATATTTGAATGATAGGGGGCTGGCTTTGAATGTTTTAATTTTATTTTGAAGTTCAGTGAATGGAATGGCCTAGATGGACCAACTTGTTCCTTGTTGTTGTTGCAATATATTTATGTACAAAAACCTTTGTTTCCATTTCCAAACAATCTACATATAACTGTGAACCACTTACCTTACAGCACAGTGACCTGTAAGACAGTAAACTGCCTAGTTGAGTCTAGTCAGGTGTAGAACAAGGAGATAAAAGCACATCAGTATGTACTACAAAGGTATTTTACCCTGCTGCTTTAAAACCCATATGGAATTTCCAAAGAAAGAAACATTATTTACTGATGCTAATAGTAATGTCAAATAGTGGAGAAATATTAAATCAAGTGATTCATAGCTAAAGAAAATAACTTTGATGGGTTTTCTTTATTTCTACAGTGGAATGTGTAACAGCTGTTGTAATTTAGATCAAAGAATTTTCAGCACCCATAAATACTTGGTTACCACACTGACAAACCACAAATCATCAAAGTTTTGTATATTTTAGATATGGCATGGAACAACCACTGTTATTATAGAAAGTCCTAAGTTTATTTATACTTCATATGATCTTACACAAATATTTGAAATACACCAGTGTAATGAGAACTGGAATCATAGTGAAACATGGGAGGAACCCAACAAAGACATTTCCATGATGTGGCTAGAAGCTGGTCAAAGTGGCTACAAATCTTCAAAATATTGTTAGCAGAATGTGGGCTCACCTTCAGGCCAGCTAGAAACCTGGATAGGATAGACCATTGTCAAAAACACCATAAGACAACTGGTGAGCCTCAGCTAAACCTGAAGCAGCAGTACCTAGCAGAAACTTTGCTGTCATGCATGGTGATAGTTAAAGACAGGCTTCATGGAGTTGGCCATTACGTCAGGTGATGGCTATCAAAGGCTTCACAAAGTTGACCGTTATGCCAGGCAATGGTTATTAACAGGCTTCACAGGTTTGGATTTTACAACAATGTGTATTATTTTAACTCATTACTGCAAAACAGATCATCTTTAGAAGTGCTAAGAATAGGTATATTGATTAAACAAGATGTGAGCAAATGTATTGTTTACAAACAAATTATTCTTCATACTGCAACCAGTATGCATCTGAAGCAAGGTGGGACTAAATCTAACCCTAAATTTATGGTGGGATATTAGTTTGGGCAAGAATCACTATTGGTAGACACACCGATCTTGCCATGGCACTTAAAATGCCAAACCATTTACAGATGCAG